AGATTAGAATATGTAACAAATTTAATAGTTTTCGTATTTTTTGAAAATCCACATGCTTTTTGTTAATAGTAGTGACCAACTTTTTGTTAAGTATGAAAACCTCATCTCCGATAAAATTATGTAAATGAATGCGGGCAACCTTGATTATTTTCACTTATGGTCGCACATTTCAAATGTATTTCTCAATAAATTGTATCTAATACTTATTTTATCACAAAATTACCAAAACAAATCAAAACAATTGCAGTGTAGTGCTAATTAACACTTCAGCCATTTGCACAAATGAGGGAGGGTTTACATTAACAGAAACTTTAACAAAGCCAAAGGTGCTTAGAAATACATCTCATTTGTCTCTCAATGTGTCGAGATTTTTAATTTATATTTGCCACATGCATCTATACCTACTTGTACACGCACTAAAAGAAAGAAAATTAAAACGTTGGCCGAGATTATGTAGATTTCCCATGCCGACAAAAGAAAGGACCTGTTACAGGAACAAAAGAATTTTGCCCACAAAGCAATTTAACCATTACTGGTTTATATTTGTAGCTCCCTAAGACACGACCCATGAGATATTTTTAAAAAATTAAAAAGGTCCCCAGGGCCTGTGCTATGAACTATTTAGTGCCGCCTTCCAAAGGTGTACGACAGGGTTCACTTTATTGTCCAAAAAACTATCAAAACAATGTTTTACGCTATCAAATAATATTATATTATTTAAAGTAGGATCTGCTGCAAATTATGAACTCAAATATTTAACAAAAAATTGCATAATGAAAAAGTTATAAAATCTTAAACTCTAAAAATGTTGGTATTTTCATACACTTTTTTGCTACATCAATTGTTTTACGGAAGTAAAACACCAATTTCCGGTTCTTGTACACCAAAAATCTTTTAATATTATTTGGTGCATTATGTTGTGATATGATAGTGAAAATTTCAGGAAATTTGAGAACCGGTAAATTTGTCATATAAATGTCAAATTGTAGCAACGTCTATTTCCAATAAAATCCAACAACCTTATGACCTATAGTCATGTTTGATAATTTAACAATATGTCGCACCAATTTAT